TTTTCTGTGAAAGTTTAAAAGTCTTTACAAGGGAATAAAAGAGTATTGCAACTTCGCATTTCTTAAATTAAATGACGTAAAAGGCGTAAAATATTAAAATTTAAATGAGCGAATTCGAAAAAAATGTTTTGGAATTACAAACTACATAAACGAAATTTCTTAATTATTCCTTTATAATGTAAGCCAATTTCTTATTCAAAATCAATTTGAATATAGGAATAAATTAAGTTCTCCAGCAAAGTTCGTTTCCTTAAAGGTGTGAAGTAGATACTAAATTCCGAAGTAGTTGCTTGTAGTCATCTTTAAACACGTTTTTAAAATTATGAAATTAATTAATATTTTAAAAAATAGCCTATTTCTGAAAACGAAAGGGTTAACTTTACTGTATGTAATAACGTGAAAAAAGCAAAAATAAAATCACATTAATGCTTTGGCTTTGTGGCATTGTTTGTGTTCTTTTCACGTTGTTTTATATTTTTTCCAAATATCATCTTATTGCTGTATGTTATTAATTATGTTTATTAAAAACATGATTGGTGAAGCTATAGAACGCTACTTACAACATTTGTTTTTCAATTTCTATGCATTAAACGTTCTCAAATAAGCATTATTTGACAGCTTATAATGTTTGACATCTAGTAACAATATTATTTTTTGCTTGAGTTGTAAATTACCTTTCTTATTAATGATTTTTCACGATTGTACAAACAGAGTTACACCTATCTACTAAAAGGTAGTTTGAACCCAGATCTATACAGCTTACTGGATCTATACAGCAATGTCTATAAAGCATGCCTGGATCTATACAGCATACTGCTTCTATTGTGCAATCTATGTCTGACATCTTTACAGCAGTAACTGAACACGTATAGAAATGTTAAGGCAACGATTGTATCTAAAAAATGAAATATTTATCTAGTGTTAAAAAAAAACAAAAACCAATCTGTACTTAAATTTTAAATTATCTTCTTAAATAAATTGTTTAGCGTCTTAAATGATTTTGTACCTTTTCACAAAAATGTATTAAATCATAAATTCTATTTCAGATTCGCCACCAGAAATCACACTTTTTGGGAGGAAAGAAATGTTCCGTACGTAAAACCGTATCCCTTCATTGGGTCACTCAAGGACAATTTTCAGAATGTAAGTTGAATAATGGTTTCAACTTTTATCTCGTTAGTTCGTCCATTTTTAGGGACGACTGAGAAAAAAATGCATTAAGTGCTTAAAAATTAATTTTTTTTGTTTCAAATTTGAAATATATTAAATGACTATATGTTTTAAATTTTATCAATGGTCTCATGCATCAACCATTCTCTTCATGAAATTTCTTTTCTTTTATTATTTCTAAGGCTAACAGGAGAAAAATAACTTTTCGTGTAATTGAGACAGCTAAATAAATCAAGTTTTTATTTTTAACCTGTTACTACACCTACGTTGCAAGAAAAAAAATGCATCACTTCCTCATAAGAATGATTTTTTTGTCTCACAAATTTGACAACTACTATTACTATTGTTCACTTTTTTTCTTTTAAATTTTATCAACGGAAAATGGGTATCAAGTTGATAACAGAGACTGTTTTCTACGAGACTGCCATTGGCGCTCTTGCATAATTTAAAATAGATACAATTACAATTTAAGGTAGGATATGACTTGTGCAAAAATATTATTTTGGGCAAAATTTTCGAAATTGAGTTTATTATAAATTTGGAATCCCTGTACTCTTATATTTCTAAAAATACTTCACTCTTTGTTTGCATTTCAATAATTTACTAAGATTACTTTGGGGGAAGGTGAAAGCAGAGGATAGACTAATGATTTTTAAGTTAGCGTTTATCTCAGAATCAGATTTTTTTTCACATTTTACACCACCTTATACACGATTTCTCATGTAGTTTTTAAAATAATTGCCCACAATATTTCCTGTGTATTTATGACTATAGCACACATGTTTTGAACTACATACTAAGAGAAAGTTACAGAATTTCATTTTTTATGCATGTGTTTCCGCAAAGACAAGTGTAAAAATGTTTAAAAATTTGCTTTTCTAACTGCATTGATCCCTAATTTAGTAGTACATGCACTTGCTTTGAAGATACTAGTTTACAACACAGCTGATAGTCGTCTAAATAAAATTTTCAAAGATTTTTGTTTTGTTCTAGGAGATAGAAATGTGTTTACAGTGTATAGCGTATATGCAAAAAAAAAAGCATTATTTTTACCTAAATATGGCCATATAAAAAGAAAATGTTAATAATTATAATTTTCTTGCTAGTTTAATAAGATTCTAATCGTAATTAAACAAATGAACTAGTTTTTTTAAAATTTTATATTAATATTTTTAAAAAAAAATTTGTCGAAACTAGTCGGATACTTTAAAAGGTACTGCTGAAAAACAAAAAGATTTTAAACACTAATTATTTTATTTTTCTTCGAATGCATTTTACCAGTGTATCAGATTTCCAATATCTTCATCAAAATTACATTTGAAAACATCAATGTATTGTATGTATTAGGATTATTAAACTTGACTTCATTTTTTTCCATTTCTTTTAACGAATCAGAAGCCAGAAACCATTGAATCATCGATTTGGGATAAAAAATTTCGATATTGGTATTTCGTGTCAAAGACATCTGCAGTAATACAGCAGCAAGAAATTGCATACAGAACTTTTACTAATTACCATAGTCTAAAAAGAGAAAAATATTTTCAGCCCTTAAGAAATACTGAAATAAGCAAATTTTGCAATAAACAAAATTTTTTTACTATCAATAACAATCTAAAAAGACACAAAACGTTGGTATTTTATTAAAAACTTAAGGGGGTTCGGTGATCCCTTTTACAACCTCAGTATAAACTTTTATCAGATATTAATAATATACTAATGTTGTTTCTTTCTAGAATGTAGAAGACTTGGATACAGAACGATACAAAACTTTAGGCAAAATCTATGGGTATGTATTACAAAGCTCGAACTCAATTTTAAAAGTGAGAAAGTGATGCTAAATTTTTAACAAGAAGTTAATACCAATAATTCCTCGTTTTAGTTACCACCTCAATAATAAGACTAATTTATATGTAATTATAAATATGTTATTATATATGTCTACTTTTGGAAGAAAAAAAATGCAGAAGTTTAAAGAATTTTCAATATCATCGCTATTCTTTGAAATCTGTTTAATTTAACTAATAAGTGCAGATGATATTTTAAGTTACGAAATCAGACACAAAAACGTACTTCCTCTGCATTAACATATTTATTTTCCGACGGATTTATATTCCTGACTCAGAGGAGCAGTCAAGCTGGAAATAAAGTCCCAATAGGTCTGCCAACAATTACGCTTTTTGCAAAATATTTTATAGAGTGGTAGACAATTAAAAACCAGAGCTTTTAGAATTTTTGATAATTTTGCCAACATTTTAAAAGCCTCACTACGAAAGAGCAGGCAAAAAGTGGCGTTGCATATGAACTTTTAAATCATTCACATGTAGGGGTGTTGAAAATAAGTTTAAATGATTAAAAAATATTACATATAAACATGAACATAGCTAAGCTACCATTAGAATAAAATTTTACCAAACGCGTTGAAAGTTAGCAGCCCTGGTTCAGCTAGGAGAGAGGTCGAAAGGTTGGACCCTTTCTTGTTAATTTTACTTTTAACATAATTCGCCATGACTCGGGAACTTTTTTAAGTTGATCGAGAAATATTTGCTCACAAATATTAATTTCGTTCATCCCGAGATAATATCATGCAAAAAACAATGTTTAATAACAATTTGTCATTTTATTTAATAGCCGAAATAATTTTGAATTGTAAAGGTTGCACATTTTTACGCATTTTAGTTATTTTGATTGACAAAATACGAAAATCAGTCGAATAGTTTCTAAATTATGAAATTTTTAAAAAAAGTCGTATACTTATAATTTGATTTCTCAAGAACTCGAAATTTCTATAACAAATAAAATGTTATTGAGGGAGTGTTATTTTTCAAGAGTCAATCAGGACATTTGTAAAATAAACCAACAACACAACAGACTTTCAAACAAAGAATATACATACAAAAATTACAAGGTATATTCAAGGAATATACTTACAAAAAATACAAAGAATATACTTACAAAAAATACAAGGAATATACTTACAAAAATTACAAGGAATATACTTACAAAAATTACAAGGAATATACTTACAAAAATTACAGGGAATATACTTACAAAAATACAAGGAATATACTTACAAAAATTACAGGGAATATACTTACAAAAATTACAAGGAATATACTTACAAAATTACAAGATATATACAAGGAATATACATACAAAAATTACGAGGTATATACAAGGAATTACAAGGAATATACTTAAAAAAATTACGGAGTTGAACATTAGTAGTCGTAAACCTAAAAAAATTGGGTCGGCTATTCAACGATGGTTATAAAATGACTAACGGTTGCAAGATTACATTAAGACCCAATCAAGGATTAGTTACATAGTTAACTAAAAATAAATATTCGTTTCAATATTGATAATCCAGTAGTAAATTGTCCCTTTTCAAGAACTATAATTTTTATTTCTAGCATGCTAACTGATTGCTAAAAATTTTTTTTACATCCTTGATTTTCAAAAAACTAACTTGAAACATATGTAGTGCTTAGTTCAAGAAATATATTTTTAATATTTCAGATTCTATGAAGCGACAAAGCCATGCTTGATGGTTGCTGAGCCGGAACTTTTAAGGGATATTTTAGTTAAAGACTTTCCAACATTCACAAATCATAGAGTAAGTATTCTAGAAAAAAATTTTTTTGTCCTCTATCGTACATTTTCTTAAGAAACCATCTTATCTGAGAAATTTTTTTTGGTCCTTTTTGTGCATTTTCTTTGACCCTCATTTTATGCGAAGGAAATTTCTTGTCCTTGTTTGTGCATTTTCTCGAAAGTTCATTTCACGGAGAAAAAAATATTTTATTCTCGGTTCATTTTGACAAAAGTTCACTTCATGAGAAGTAAACGTTTTCTTAAAAGAAAACTTGAAATAAATTATTTTTGTCTTCATTGGTGTATTTTTTTTAAAAGTTCATGTTACGAGAAGAAATTTTTGTCCTCGTCTGAAAAGTTAAATTTAGGCAGAGAAATTTTTTCTGTCCTCATCTGTACATTTTCTTGTGAAGGAAATTTTTTGTCTCGTAGGTATATTTTCTCAAAACTTCATTTAAGGCGAAAAAAATTTATAAATTTTTTTTTTTGTAAATAAAAATATAACTGACGCAACATTTTTATTTCACGTACAGGAAAGTATTTTTTTCTGTTATATTAAGGACAATATTTTTTTTAATTGAGTTTTTATATTCTTGTTTACATAATTCTTAAAGTGAACTCATTGAGACAGAAAAAGTTTTTGAGATAAACTCCTGACGTTTTGAAAATATTAAAAAAAACTAAGAAATAATTTAAATTTAAATGTAATTTAAACTTAAAAATTGGGACTTTTATAAATTGCTCTAAAATGCTCAATAATGTTTCCTTTTTCCTTAATTAACATTTTTAGTTCATGCTTTAAGGAATCTCCAGGGTTGGATTAAAGTGTGATGGGGCCTGAGGCTAATGTGTAACTTGGAGCCCAACCTATACCAAATCATCCAAAACTTACCTATATTCAAAAATATCATATCTTTTTATAAAATTCTGCTCCAATTTAACTTGTTTTACAAAAAGTAATTCATTTATTATAATTACTTTTTTAACAAAACATGAACATTTTTAAATCATGAAATATTAACATTTGATTCCCTTAAGTTTCTACGTTGAAAATACCCTCCGCATGAAATTATAAATGTTAAGTAGTTGTAAGAACAACATACCAAATTTAAACAGCAAACAAATTTTAAAAATCGAAAACAACAGATTCGAATTTTCCTTCCTTAGAAAGTTTTTTTTTATACCACTTGCCAACCAAGATCCCTAGGAAATTGTAGCTATTTTGTATAGGGTCACAGAAAATTAGTTAGGAAAACGATGCACTTGTGACTAAATCAAAAGAAGATCATTGATAAAACTGGGTAATTGGGTATGAGACAAAAGAAGGAAATAACACGACTAAGTATAATTTTTACCACCGATTTTTACACCTAAAAATTACATTAACTTTCTTACCGATTCCAAACGAAGATTATAAAACATTATACTTGAGATCAAATAATTTTTTAGAAACTTACAATAGAAATCAATTGTACATTCATAAACTTTAGTGGGCTCTAAAAGGTTTCGGAACTTGGGACTACAGCCCCCTCTTAATCCGGCCCTGGGAACGCATAGTTTTTAAAATACATTGCTTTCTAAATGACCTACATTTTATTTATGTTAATGAAAATCTGTCTAGTCTATTTCAAAGAAAAACACGCAAAAGAAAATTATTCTGGAATTCTTTAAAAGAATTAATGAAATTTCTATTTTAGTATATGGACATGGGGGATGACGTACTGAATAAGATGATGACTGCTTTACAAAACGAAGATTGGAAGAGAGTTCGAGCTATTGTTTCACCCACATTTTCAACGGGAAAACTTAAGAGGGTAAGTAGTTTAATACAATGCAGTACGCGATTAAATGCAATCATTGCAACGGTGTTTATTAGTTTAGTAACATTGAAACCTTACTAAGTAATTTTATTTTTATAACCGTCGTTGAACAGCCGACCCAATTTTTGGGTTTACGACTACCAATGTTCAACCCCGTAGCCTTGTAATTTTGAACCCAATACAGAAGACAAAGAAACTTCTGGATCAAGAAGTATTGGGAGAAATTTGCCTTAGTGGAGAACTTTTTAATGGAACTAACTTAGCCTAACGGCAAGGGCTCTCTAATCCACGATCCGTCTACCATTAAGGATATTTTACGTTGGCACCGTTGTTGGTGCGGAAATTGTATCGACCAGCCGTCGCTGGGATTTGAACCCAGTTCACCTCATTGGAAGATGAATGTTCTATCCCCTGATGAATGTTCTACTCATCACGGCTCTAATATTTTTTATTTTTTTATTACCGACATAGAACAGCCGACCCAATTTTTGTTCAACTCCGTAGCCTTGTAATTTTGATACCCAATCCTGAAGGCAAGGAAACTCCTGGATCCGTACCCAAAGAGGTATTGATTTGCTATGGGAACATGGAGGACTTTGTGACCCGACAGATTTAACATGCACCAGTAACCATTTACTCCACGGGGAGTCTTCAGCAGGCGGGGATAGAACCCAAAACCTCTTGGAGATGGGCCCAGCCCTACCAACCAGGCTATCCCGGCCCTTAATAATTTTATTTGGCATTAGAAACTCGTTTTAAAAAGTATTATCTTGAGTATAACAATGAATTAGCCTAAAACGCCTTGCGTCTTTCGTGTATTTCACCAGATTTCGAGAACTGTTTAAAACACAATTATCCAAAAACACAATTATCCAAAGACAATTCCATGCAAAAAATAACTTTTAGTAAATATTTATTATTTTATTTAATAATTGTTGAAAAAGAATTTGAATTGTAAGGTATTAAAATTTTCACATCAATTTAAAGAAGGTTAAAATACGAAATTGAGCGAAATCTATCGAATAGTTCCTAAGAAATCGAATTTTAAAAATTCGATTTTAATATGTATATATATTTAATTTTTCAGTAGCTATATAACCGATTTCGCTCGAAGTTTGTATTTTGCAATATAAAATTATGTTTTTTAAAATGATGGAAAAATTTTACACCTTCCAATTTAAAATTTGTTCAACTGTTATTAAAATTAAATTTATAAAAATTATAATTATTTATTAAAAAAATATTTTTTACATGGCATTGTTTCTGTATAAACAAATTTTATAATTGCGTGCAAAAATTTTTCAATCCCTTTAAAAAGTTCTTGAGATGATGAAATGAGCAAAAAATAAAATTTTCATTAATTGGTCCAAAATTTGGACCACTCTTCTGAACTATTGTGACTATTTTTAACCAACGAAATATTGGGACCGTAGCTCAAAATATCTTCTGTACTAAATAATTAGCAAATTTATTTGAGGTCACGTCCTCGCACCATTAAGATTGAGTCCAAGATCCTGATCATAATATGGAAATGTATTCAAAAAAAGTTTTCCGCTCTGTACATGGTAAGGTGATCAATTGCTTTTAGTTTTGCATTCTTTCTCTTTAGTTTAAAAATTATATTTCTGTTGAAATCTGAAAAATAAGTTTAGTGACAAATCATTTGTCATTCAGGTTCTGAACATCTTTCAAGACTGTGCCAAAACACTCATTCAAAGTTACACAAAATCCGCCGATTCGAAATCACCAGTCGATGTTTTAAAGTAAGTAGTTTAATTAACTCACTTTTTCGGAATATGAATTTATAAGCAAAATTTGTTTATCTCTTTTTATAAGCAATATTATAATTATAACTATCGTTGAATAGCCAATCCAATTTTTGGGTTTACGACAACTAATGTTCAACTTCGTAGCCTTGTAATTTTGAACCCAATCCAGAAGACAATGGAACTCCTGGATCAAGTATTGGGAGAAATTTCCCTTCGTGGAAGACTTTTTGATGGAACTAAACAACAATTGCGTTTCAAGGAAAGGAAGGTCACGATGCCCTCCCACGGTTAGTCGGACTGCAACCCATGATCTGTCTACCACTGAGGATATCTTACGTCAGCACTTTGGTCGGCATGTGTGGTATCCACCAGCCATCACTGGGATTCGAATCCGTTTCTCCTCATTGGAAGGCGAATGCTCTATCCCCTGAGCCATCACAGCTCTTTTTCTAAGCAATAAAAAAAAGCTGTAAAAAAGTAGAAATTGTATGTTTTTAGGAGATTAAAAATATTTCTGAAACAGTACAAAGACTTTTCGTGAAGTGTTTTTGATAGTATATATTTTTATAGACTGATCAGGAAATTTTTTACTATCGTTTTTAAACTTTATTTTATTATAAAATTTATATTTATTGCATTTTTTGTTTGATATGTGCTTAATTTTAATTTATTCTTATTCTTTTAAATTAATTTTTTTTTACATATTTATATTTATTTTTTCCTCCACGTACTTTTAGGTTTTATGGGGCGTATACTATGGATATTATTGCAAGTTCTGCCTTTTCCACAAAAATTGACTCTCACAACGATCCAGATAATATATTCATCCAAAAAGCTAGATCGATATTCAACCAGGATATGGGATTTTCTGTTCTTCTTTTCTGTAAATATACATATTTTATAATATTCATTATACTTCTTTTAGTATGTACGTCATTAAATTACTAGTAAACTTAAATTGGTAACATGCTATTCCATAACTATGTTAAATATTATAATAATGTTGCTAAAACATATTACAATATTCAACATAGTAACATAATAACGTTAGTACTATGAATGTTACTAAAACATATTATTTATTGTTTTGTTACTAAAACTTATGGATTTTTTTAAAATTAAATATTACTTCGTTAGTTTAAATCTAAAACTAGCTTTAAATACAGACACTGAAGTTTATGTAACTGAACTTTAAGTAACGTGCACTGGTCAAGGGGGAAAAGAAATAGAAATTCAAAATAAAATTTACTTTAAAAAAACAATATTAGAAAAATTTATTTACATTTAAAGTCTTAAAAAGAAGTTCTGAAGTACGGAATAAATGTTTCAGCTGAATTTTCAAGAGCATAATTTTTGTAATTAAAATTTTTCTGTCTCATCGGTTTTTATTATTTTGTTATTAATTGTTTACCAATTCCTTATATGACACCTAATATTCATTTATTTCTAAATTAGATGAAAATTGTCTGACAATGTGAATGCATCAGACAAGTGGATTGGCGACATTTTCCACTTTATATGCCTCGATTCCCTTTTCTTTAAAAAAGTACTCAAGAACCGTGACATAAATAATTAAAAAAATATTATTTAAATCTATATAAACATAATACTTTTTAACTAAATTGATCTGTAGGTTAAATCTTCTATGACATATTAATTAAACTGGCTTATTGACTTCTAGGCTTTGAACTAGAATATGTTATTATTTTGTGGCCACGTGATTAGTTATTTGCCAAATAAATAAATAAATAAATAAAATAAAATAAATTTTTTTATACTGTATATAACAGTANGATGCCAACTGCTCTGGACACGCCAAAATAATTAAAAAAAAACGGTAAATAACTACAAAGTAAATTTTGCAAATATTTGACTATCTTTGCTTCCTTTTAAAAAGATAAAGCATGATATAGTACTATTGAGTGGTAAATTATATAAGCCTACGAATTATTTAGAATGATATTGATCACCACTATTCTTACAAAAATTAAGCACATATATTAATATGCGTTACTGTCATGGTTGTCAACTTAAGTTTTCTCAAATACCACGTATTTGTCAGCTTAAAATTTAAGTTTTAATTCCATTTTAATACCACTGGGAAAAATAAGAATGGAAGGGATTAAATGTTGGCAGGTATGGTCTCCGTACGGGTTACCACAAACGAGAACTCCAATCCTTTAGCAGTCCGAACGTACTAACATCTTTCGTATTTTCCACCACTGCACTGTTTAGTTGCTCAAACATTGTAACATCTTTCTTATTATTCCCTCAGTGCGCATTTTATGTCACGTCGGACTCCTCACCTGATCCGTGTGCGGAGGCCTTCTCTCTTCTAGGAGATGTTGCGTTATTGCCGTATGAATGTATCAATTTTTTTAACGTTTGCATGACAAAGATATATTTTTTTTTCAGTTTTGTTTCCGAATATTATGAAACGGATTGGATTCTCGCTATTTCCAAAAGATACTATGCAATTTTTTAAGATGACGACTCTGCAAATCATTAAAGAGAGGAAGAAAACAGGACAGGTGATTTCAGTTTTTATTAACATTGTCAATTTCAGTTGTTTGACAATGCAGTGACTTAACTCTTTGTTTTACCTTTAAAAATAAATTTAATTCTGTTCAACATTTTTATTCCACAACCTTAATCATAGTTGCAAATTACTTTCTCAAAACCAGCTTCTCATGCCCAAGGTAATAAACATTAAAAGTAAGTATAACCAAGTATTTTTGACAAAATAACCAAATATTTATAACAAATTCCACTGTTCTAAGTAAACATAACCAAGAATTGAAAACACGTTTAATTACGATTAAGTTAAGTCTGATTGAATAAAATAAAATGTATACTTTTTGGGACAAATTTTCACTTTTTTTTAAAAAAAAATTATTCAATGATTGATATATTTTTATAAGTGACAAAATTTTGCAAAATAGCTTAAATAGTTAGCACATTAAACTGCTTTATAAATGAAAGCTAAAGCGAAAAATTTTTTTAAAAAATGTATTCACGTTTGTTAAAATTAAAAACAAAATTTTTTTAAATTCAACCATTTTAAAAGAATTTGGTTTTTAAACGAATTTGATTTTTAAAAGAAAGAGACAATTTAAAAGAATATATATACAGTGGCCTAAAAAATACATTGATTAAAAAAAATTCAACTCGTACCTAACTGTTCTTCTTATAAAAACGCTGGGGGATATTTCCGTATTGTGATCTGTCACGCCAATTACAATCGCCAAAGTGCCACATAGATTTTAAATTTGCAAGTCTTAAAAAAATAATAACAATAAAAAAATGAGTAGATGTTTACCTGCGGGTGCCTATGAGTTATACCTTTCGAATAGGTCCTTTTCTGTGACTGATATTCTGCTACAGATCACGATACGGAAATCTCTTGAAAAGCTGAAGATCTCTAAAAATATTTATTATTACAAATAAAATGAGATAACACATAATTGTTATGAAATAAAACATCAAAAACATTACTTAAACAAAAGGAATTAATAATATTTTAAGTTAACGTTAGCCTCATGGAAACATAATGTTGATGAAATCTAACCCCTCGAGAGCTGGAGGTCGACTGATAAAAACGACCACTCGATAAAAAATAGTTGGGTTACAATGTTTCTTACATTTCTTTTATTCAAATCTACATAATAGATCTTCTGCAAATCAATGGATCGAAAACTTCTAACAATTTTATATTTCGGAAACTATGTCCAAAGTTGTTATGCAAATTGGAAGATCTTTTAGAAACACAGGCAGAGAGATCTTCTTCATTTTTTTAAATTGTTTAAAATTAAGATAATTTTAATAAACTTTTCGTAAAAATAAAAAATTCATAATAAAAAACTTTTCGTATATTGCTTTTTTTATAAAAAAAATTTCTTTTTTCCCTTAAATTAATTAAAAATATTTTTTTTTGTGCAAAATAAACGTGCTTGAACGATCATGAATGTTTGATAATGAACCAAGTAAAGTTTCCCATTGATTGTCAATGGAATATCTTCGGTTTTAACAGTCATGTCAAAAACCTTTTTTGTCTTAGTTTTTGACAATTGTCAAAACCTGAAAATTTCGGTGTAAGGATCATTATTAGGTATTGTAAATATAAAGTAATTATAAATAGACAAGCATATAAATTACAAGTGATCAATCAATTATGCTCTTGAATTATTTTAATATTGTATACAAGTAATAAAATATACCTGCATACAAATGATAACAACCAAAATTGAGAGTCAAAAATAAATTTTATGAGTTGAGATCAGACAGTTATTGGCGAACACTTCAGTTTTTTTTAATTAAAAAAAATTTGTCTAAATTGTGACTTAAAATAATTAAAATCAATATTTAGGTTGATAATAATTAATAACTCAAAGCTATTACCGTCATGTGGGGCTACTTAGTGCAGGATTTCTCAGTTTTTGAACTTTGACATGTAAAAAAACTATGTTAATTCAAACTTTAGTAAAATTTATCGATATTATATTCGTAACTGGACTCAGACGAGTGAATTTGATCAACATTGGCATTATATGTATGTAATATTTACAAATAATAAGTCAAAACATACCTTGCACAAAGTTGCCCCCAAGTGGGGCTACTTTGTGCAGCCATAGGAATTCAGTTTAATAATTATGTTTTTAGTAAAATATTGATATAAAATTGTTAAAAAAATTAATTGTTGACATTTTTAACAACAAAAACATCAAGATATGTAAAGATATCAGTTTGGAAATAATTTTCAGCGTTAAAAAACCATTTTTTATAAAGATTTTTTTTCTTAAAAAGAATGTTTATTTCAAAACATTTGAGTTTAAACAAAAGGAAACCATATACATTTTTGAACATTGAAATGGATGAAATTTCAAAAATAATAATTATTACATATTCATTAACATTTATAATATTGATAAATTTGAACATAACATGCTTGAATGAACATGACAGAACTTGCTCTTCAGTTTCTGTCAAAATCACCTGATGTCCTATAAAATATATTTTTATGTGTTAAATCGTTTGATTAATTCATTAGAAAAATCTTTGTAGAAGAAAAATAATAGTTTACCAGCCCGTTTCACGTGTTTTTTATGAATTTTATTAGAGGTAGTATTTCCGTGAATTATGTACTTCCGAGAAGCTTCTGCAATCGACATACCACCAGCAACTGCTTGCAAACATTGTTGCAGCTTTTCTAAAGTGTATTCACGGTAGTTTCTCGTTCCAGGTATTTTTTTTATAACGTCTGACAATTTTTCTGTCGAAAAAAAAGACGAATGAAACTTTGCACAAAGTATCCCACTGTGCATTTTTTTTTCATTTTCCGTTTATTTGTCATTAATTTTCAAAATGTTTTAACGCTAACATGATATAATTGTTTATTAATATATAAATAAAAAATTTTGCACTTACGACAATTGTTTTATCAATGTCTTTACAATTTACAGCTAAAGCTTCCACGCACACTTTTCGACGTCCGACGTTCTCCGAAAGTTGTTGACATTGGATAAACAAAACACACTCTGAGATTGTTTTAAAATTCGAAAAAATGTTTGTAGTAATAAAGGAGACTTCTATCTTCAAATTCCACGCATTTTTAACTTGAAAAAAAACATAATACTGAATAGCAGCACTTGAAAAGTGCCAAATTCGAATTTGCACAAAGTAGCCCTACATGACGATACCTGAATAGTTATAATATAACAAGCAGTATTGATATTAAAGTATTAAGAGCACCATGTTTTTAGAAAAACCAAACAATAGTCTCAATAATTTTTACTATATTTTTTATAAATGATATAGATTATAATTAATAATTATCGTAGTATATATTGAAAATATCTAATAAAACCTCCCCAATGACGAAAAAGAAACTTGTCCCAGGTTTATGCCAGATTTGCGACAGTTTATGACAGTTTTTGACAAAATAATATGTGTATTTTTGTCATTTCTTTTTAGAAACGGAATGACTTTTTGCAATTATTAATGGATTCTGCTGGTGAAATAGAAAAAGAAGAGGACACGGAAAATAGTTCTGAAGACATTATTCGAAATTATGGGGACGAATCCAACAACAATTTAGTCTTCAAAAATGTTTCTACAAAAAGTAAGTTTGACATTTCTTTAATTTTCAGTACCCATGTACCATGCTCATTACCATTTTTTTCAGTACCAAAAAAATTTGTAAAATCTGTGTAGTTGAGCACTAGTAGAGTGCTCAATTAATAACTTTTGATCTTATGATCGGATTTTCATGCTCTAGGACTCAATCCTAGTGGTTCGAGGGTTAATAGGCTAATAAATTTGTGAAGACGATACCTTAAATTACAAAATCGGACTTCCCCTGAATCTGGTAGCAGAAACACTTCTGCTGTGATAATTTGCAGTAGCGCTGCAGATTATCAGAACGTCTGCAGATTATATTTCAATTCAAATTTTTTTTAAAAAAATAAATGACGAAAAAGTTTTTAAAAAAAATTTTGAGTAGAAAAAATACGAGCGCGTTAAACAAAACTAAAACTTTTTACGATCAAACTAATCGAGGAAAGATTAAAAGAAAAGAAAGAAAAGAAATAAGAAAGAAAAAAAAAAGGAAAGAAAGAAAGAAGAAAGACTCTATCGACAGTTTCGACTCCATTCGGTCTGACTCTATTTTTCGAAATATTTTAAAAACAAAGCCATAAGAAATCATCCAATCATATTTCGAGGTACAAAAGTATGCGATATTTTAAATTCTTCATTCATTTTTTTTAGAAAAGTATACCAATGCCTTTTGCACCAACACATTTTGAAAGGTTGTTAGTATCATATATTAATCTATTTTTAGAGATTTGATAAACACTTTTGCCTTTCAGTAATAAACATTAAAAAAAATTTCAACATCATCCAAATCAATTTTCAATAATCTAAACTGCAATAATATTAAATTTTAAAAAATCCAAAAATGCTTAAAAATGTACAGTTTTTAATTGCTTACAAAAAAAAAACCACGAATCACATAACTTTATTGCTTGAGAAAAAATGTATACTAGTTTCAAAAAATATCAAGCGTTTCTTCTCTCCTATAGAGAAAAAAAATCTATACTAGTTCTAGCACTAGTTCTTCTCATGTATTAAGAAAAATCTATACTAGTTCTAGCACAGTGTTTCTTAACCTTTTTGGTAGAATGGACCCCTTTTAAAAATTTTAAGAAGTCACGGACCACCCCCAGTGAAAAAAAATAATTGCAAAAAACATCAATAATTAGAAAACATATAAGTTTATTATTTTAATAGTATGCAAAATTTTTAAAATAAATATTTTTAATGTGAAGGTTGTTGCTGCTTTACCTTAATAAATAAATTAAATTGAGGAATGGTTTTCAACAAATCTACGCGCATATCTTGTTCAACATTCAATCGATTTCGATGCTTTGTTTTATTGTAACAAGTGTGGAAAATCCCGCTTCGCAAAGATACACAGTAGCAAACGGAATTATAGCTGCCACAGCTCATTTTACAAGCAATGGGAAGGCTTCCAAACATTTCAAAAATTAGGAGTAGTCGGCGGACCCCCAAAATTTGACCCATGGACCCCTAAAGGGTCCATGAACCACAGGTTAAGAAACCCTGTTCTAGTACTAGTTCTTCTCATCTATTAAGAAAAAAATTATACTAGCTCTAGCACTTGTTCTTCTCATCTATTGAGAAAAAATTTATAGTTCTAGTACTATTCCTTCTCATGAATTGAGGAGCTGAGTTAAATCAATTTTCTAATTGTCATTGTAAGATCTTTAATACAAATGAACTTTTACAGGTTTAGGAATGAATGAGCTGATTGCTCAGTGTACCCTGTTCTTCATTGCTGGTTACCATACCACTGCGTTGACATTAGGATTTACTACGTATCATTTAGCACTTGAACAGCGTGTGCAAGATAAGCTTTTTCAGGAAATCGAAGAAGTGCTGAATCAAACTAACGTGAGTTTCACAAAAATATACATTTTCATACTCATTCCAAAAGGCGACAAGAAATTACAGTCATACATTGCGTCAGAATGATGCGTTAAGAATGTTATACATTTTTTCATTCTTTAGCAACTTATCACTCAATGTTTTTAGCACTTTTTCAGAGAGTAGACCGTTTTCCTTTTTTACTTATATTTCGCTAGCTAAATATTTGCTCAAAATGTCTTAACGCTGCTTTTCAAAGCTCTGTTTCCAAGGAAAAGTTTTTAAAAAAACCATAGTTTAAGTGCCTTATAATTGAAGCAATGCGATGATTTTAAACTATATATATAATCTTGCCGAGAAGAATTATCTGGGTTTTAGAACAGGCAAATAGCTTAAATATTATACAAGTTATTAAACTTGTTAAAAAATCGCCAATTTGGCGACATTTTTCCATCTAGATGAAAATTATAAAAATCACTGCCTTATTCTCAGTTTTTGCGAATTTTTGTTAGCCTAAGTGATGCAGCATTGAAGTAAGTTTTTGAATATTAAAATACTAGACCATAAACGCTTTTCATTTTCCCAAAACAGTGGCTTTTCTCCATATCGACGCTTTGCGCCATTTTCAAAATAAGCGTTGACAGCACTGGCTTTATATAGGCTAAACTTGACCTAACAGTTATGAATAACAGTTGTATATTCACAACAGTTATAAAAATAGCATATTATTCGTAAAAAAGCATCATTTCATGTTAGGACAGAGCCTTCGAGTCTTAAAAAGTAATTTTTGCTTTAATTTTGATAATAAGAGCCACGATGCCATGTACCTCAAACGTGGGGTAAGTTTCGTCAAACAGTTTTCTATGAAGACTAGTTTGTCCCAATGCTTGATTCAGGAGTTCTCTTGTCTTCTGGGTTGGGTTGTTGATAGTCGTAAACTCAGATTTGGGACTACTGTTCAACACTGATTGTGAAATAAAATAAAATTTTGATAATAAGAATGATGCAGATAAGCCTAATGAAGAATTTTGTTTTTACTTTTGTGTCTTCTTAGGGTGAGCTTACATATGAATCAATTCAGAAAATGAAGTATTTGGACAATGTAATTTCCGAAACACTTCGACTGCATCCCCCGCTTACAAGGTATATATTTGAAATGCTTCCTTTTTTCAGAATGTTCTTTAATAAAATGCATTGTAACAAAATCTTATTAAAAATGTTAACAAAGCAGATTTGCTTTTTAAAACAATTTAAAATTAATTCTCTCTCTACGTTTAAAAAATAATTAAATTAAGGCATAGCTGCAAGAAATACAAAAACAGGAGCTAAATAAAGAAAATTTCAATAATTTTTTTTTTATCTAGTGACATGATGTGTGTGTTAAAATACTATGAAAGTCTTCTTAACTATGTTTAAAATATTTTGATTCCTATATTATTTTATAATATTCTGGGTATTAGGAATAGTGCATAAGAAATACAAAAATAATTATTTACATTTGCAATAAACTTAAGTAAAAGGAAAAATTATCATAAAAGGTAATTTTATAGGTTATGCATAATTAGCCGTGATGAAAAGCACAAAAATTAATCGGACCAGGTGGTGAAAGTTTTCCGTGATATGTTAGCATGTTGGAGTTAAACGTGTATGTTAAACATGTTGCAAACACTGTCTCCCTCCAACCACCATTTTATTCTTTTATACAGATTAAATCAATAATGTTAGATTATGCAGATTAAAGCAATCTCAAAATATGTTATGATTAAATCAATAATGTTAGATTATGCAGATTAAAGCAATCTCAAAATATGTAAGCAGATATAATCAACATGGATGATATAAATGTATTCTCAGAGAAATATCTTAATAATTACAATATTGTTTACAATAGAACAAAAATGGAGAAAGAATCAACAATAAATTAAAAGAGAGAACTTTTCATTTTTGTGAGACATTTCTCTTTCGGTTCGTTTTAATGAAATCCTCAATAAGGATGACAAAGGATTATTTCAGGTATAAGCATTTATTTCGTCATCTCTGGATTAATTATGAGTAAACAATAAAATATGAGTACATACATAATCTACATGGCATTCAAAGTCCGGAGCTCTCCTGCTCCCTTCCAGTTCATACCTTCGCTCTCCTATAGTCCAGCTAATACTCAACTCTTCTACGTTCAAACTAATCTAAAAATCCTCTTTCTCACAAGAAAAAGTCCTTCGCTGTAGGGGAACGACACTTCCCGTATCCCTTACCCTCTGACCCTCAGGTCAGGGGTCAATCAAATGCGTGAGAGAGGAATCAGGATCCTGACAATTTTCACACAAACTCCGGTAGTGGTTGTGAAGAAATCCTCCTCTTCTTCCAACCACTACAAACCACTGTGGCGTAACTACCACTACAAATATTAAATACCAAATCAATAGTATATAAGACATGTTAACTTGAATCCATCACGAGGTACCTTTTGATAGATGAAGGTTGGCATAGTCTATAATTAAATCTCCCACATTGGTGACCCGGACGTGATAAGAAATTGTCAATATCGA